AGAGAATTCCTGGACAGGGGCTGCCCTCAAAACAAACCCCCACATGACCCCAGGGGGGAGGGAGACTGTTCCCGGACGGGGAAGAGGCTAAAAGAAATTGAACCTAAACTGTCCATCAGGAGTGTCCAGGGTGGGCTTGGCTGTCCCTACTGGCCGAGGCCTGCAGACCCTCCGGCTCTTCCTTCTGGCGGCCTCACCTACAGGCTGCACCTGGGCGGAATGGGCAGCTGGGGAGGACAGACAGAGAGAGAGAGTCAGGACCGAGTGGTGACAGCTAACGTGACCTGTGCAGTTACGATTGCCCATACACATCTAACCCCTTTGTACAAGTTGGCGGATTAATTACTCAAGATTACGGGCAGATACTGCCGTCACCCCCAGTTAGAGTCACAAGGAGACTCAGGAACTTGCCAGGGGCGTTAATGCTACTAAGCAGCAGATACAAGATTCGAACCCAGGTCACTTGGCTCCAGAAGTTGCGCTCACCTTGCTACAGGACCCGCCTTTGCGGCCGGCAGAGAAAGCCGCAGCGCACAGGCAGCTGTCCCCAGCCCGAGATGGGACCGCACGGGAGCAGGTCCTCTGCCCAGGGTCCCAGGACTTCTGTCCACCGATCCCTCAGGTTTCCCGGAGCCGTCGCCTGCACCCAGTCTGGATGCTCCGGGTCCCTCCTGTCACCCGCTGGGAGCCTCCTCCCCACCCGGACCCCACCAGCTCCCAGTTCCTCACCAGCCCTGAGGTCCCGCAGAGCCTCGCGCCACTCGGCTTCCATCCGAGCCCTGTAGTCCCCAAACAAGGAGCGCATCAGCTGCCTCTTCCGGGGCAAAGGAGTCCTGTCGCTGCGCAGGGCTCGGACTGCCCCGACGGCCTGCTCTTCTGCGGGCGGAGACGGGGGACCCGTGACCTCCTCTGCGCGCCTTCCAGCTCCCGGCAGCGCCCGCACGCCGGGACCCCCCCACTGTCCACGTCCCCAAGGCTCCGCCGGGCCTTACTCTGCTTCGGGGTCGGTTTCTGCCTCCTG